TGTAGGGACATTATTATTAATACATATTAATGAAAATATCAAATAATAATAATAATAATATAATGTAATAATAATAATGATATATGTCATAAAGAAAATAATATGATGTGATATAAAATAATATAAAACACATATATAATAAAATATATATAATGTATAAATATATACAATATAATGAAGATAATATATTAAATATATAATATAATATATATATATATATATATAATGAATATATATATATATAATATAATAAATATAATAATAATAAAATAAATATATTAATAAATATAGAGTTTAATAAATATGTATAATAAAATATATATAAATATATATAAATAATATAAAATAATGAAATAAATATAAGAATAATAATAATAATAATAATAATAATAATAATAAATATCATAAAGAAAATAAAATAAAATACAACAAAACAACATTAAAATTTAGTTTCAAATAAAATAAATAAAATCCAATATTAAAAGTTCTCCCAACATACAACATAAACTTTCCCTTCTGAAAACGGATACTTCGCGCCCCCAAAAACGTCGAAATCACTCTCTTCGGTACGGGCCCCCAAAGTATCAAGATGTCCATTCCCCACCCCTCCGGCACCTTGCTTGTCATTATGTTGAAGTGACTTTCTTCCTCTATCACATATAACCTTAAAATACCTTAAAATACCAGTACACCTTATACCTTAAAATACCAGTACACCTTATACCCTAAAATACCAGTACACCTTATACCCTAAAATACCAGTACACCTTATACCTTAAAATACCTTAGAATACCTTTAAATACCAGTACACCTTATCCTTAAAATACCTTAAAATACCAGTACACCTTATACCTTAAAATACCTTAGAATACCTTAGAATACCAGTACACCTTATACCTTAAAATACCTTAAAATACCAGTACACCTTATACCTTAAAATACCTTAAAATACCAGTACACCTTATACCTTAAAATACCTTAAAATACCAGTACACCATATACCTTAAAATACCTTAGAATACCAGTATACCTTATACCTTAAAATACCTTAAAATTCCAGTATACCTTATACCTTAAATACCTTAAAATTCCAGTACATCTTATACCTTAAAATACCTTAAAATACCAGTACACCTTATACCTTAAAATACCTTAGAATACCTTAGAATACCAGTACACCTTATACCTTAAAATACCTTAGAATACCTTAAAATACCAGTACACCTTATACCTTAAAATACCTTAAGATAGCAGTACACCTTACACCTTAAAATACATTAAAATACCAGTATACCTCATAACTTAAAATACCTTAAATTACCAGTAAACCTTATACCTTAAAATACCTTAAAATACTTGTACACCTTATAACTTAAAATACCTTAAAATTCCAGTACACCTTATACCTTAAAATACCTTAGAATACCTTAAAATACCAGTACACCTTATACCTTAAAATACCTTAAAATTACCAGTAAACCTTATATCTTAAAGTACCTTAAAATACCAGTACACCTTATAACTTAAAATACCTTAAAATACCAGTACTCAGAAAAAAATAAAATTATATGATTCCAATTTACAATTTATCTTGCTTTGGGTGTTATTTCATTGTATGTTTTTTTATTCTTGCGAACACGAGGCTATCCCTGCTGGTACAATGTGAGTGACCCCCCCCCCTCGCTCCAATATATAAGAATTTATATATCGATAACCCGTTCAAAAAGATATTCAACGGTATAATCCCATACCCTCTTCTCGTTAAAGGATTTCTGCAAGTCTTTAATTTGGCAGCATTAAACATCATAAAACGGACAAAAGAAATAAAACAAAAATCCACTGAACTGTGGTTGTCCTGGGTAAGAGGATAAAATACATCCGCGTCCTGGGTAAGAAGATGAACTACATCCGCATCCTGGATATGACGATAAAATACATCCAATAGCAAGCATCTGATCAGAAGATTTTGAGGAGTGTGGAACCACATCTTCACAATGACCCGGGGTGGTAGCACCTGTCAGGATCCCAACTATAGGCAAATAGTTAACGCCCCAAAAGGTGTCTAAAAATATGAAAGTATAAAAATACATTTTAATACCAGCAATACATTTTTGGAAAAAAAAATATATTACCAGCAATAAAAATCTTATCGGCATTAAATAACCCATTGAGGTGTTGATATACCGTAAAACAAAATCAACCAAAACAAGCTGATTTCTTTTAAAGAATACATATTCTATTCATACGAAGCTGACCTAAAAATCATGCCGGCATTAAATAACCCATTGAGGTGTTGATATGTCGTAAAACAAAATAAACCAAACCAAACTGATTTCTTTTAAAGAATACATATTCTATTCATACGAACCTATCCTAAAAATCTTGTCGGCATTAAATAACTGATTGAGGTTGATAGTCCGTAAAAGAAAATAAACCAAAACAAACTGATTTCTTTCAAAGAATGCATATTCTATTCATACGAACCTATCCTAAAAATCTTGTCGACATTAAATAACCCATTGAGGTTGATATGCCGTAAAACAAAATAAACCAAACCAAACTGATTTCTTACAAAGAATACATATTCTATTCATACGAATCTACCCTAAAAATCTTGCCGGCATTAAATAACCCATTGAGGTGTTGATATGCCGTAAAAGAAAATAAAGCAAAACAAACTGATTTCTTTCAAAGAATACATATTCTATTCATACGAACCTATCCTAAAAATCTGGTCGGCATTGAATAACTCATTGAGGTTGATATACCGTAAGCGAAACTAAATCAAACCAAACCTGAACTGTGGCATCCAATGGAATTATTAAATCAACATTGGCTACATCTTTCAAAAGATCTGATTTATGTAACCACATTTTCTTTGTCTTCTGATTAATAAAAAATAATAATTGATTCGTAGTATTGCGTAGAGTCGTTTCACGCATTAGTTATGGCTTGTTGATCAATCGCCATGTTTGATTATACACAGATGGATACTTAGATTGATATCTGGATTTTTGCACGTTGCGCAATTGTTTTATTGAGTCCTAAATGGTTTCCGATTGACTTTGATGCATGAGTTCCCCTCCCTTGTTCAAACGTTATATTGTGCTATAAACAATAGTATCTGGTTTGATGAATTAGTTATGGCTTGTACACACCATCGGTTTATAATACAATAAAAAGACTGAAAGAACAAGCGAGAACTAATGCATAAAAAATATCCGACCAATAATAAAATAATAATACATAAAGATTCAACAAGCGAGAAGTAATGCACCTGACAAATTTTTATAATACAAGTCGAATGAACCAGGTAGAAATGATGTGGGAAACCAAATATCTAAAATTTGTATAATAAACTAGCAGTAGAGCCCGGCGTTGCCCGGGGATGTAACAGTAAGAGATAGATCAAGTATCGACCATCATGAAGACTGAAAAATAAAATTGACAAAGATTATTGTTTAAGGTTGACGGACACGCATGTCTTAATTTTTTTTTTTTTTTTTTTTTTTTTACGAATTGGTCAAACCCAAACTCAAACAAAAAACATTGTTTTCAATCGTTATGAGTCTACCGATTGAATAGAATTTTATTATAAACAATTGTCTTGTAAATACAATTTTTAAAGCATTCTGAATGTAAAAATAAAGTAAAAAGTGTGCAAGACAATAAGAAACACTACCTGCCAAAAAAAAGTGAAGTTTTGTTGAAATCGGTTGAAAAATGTAGGAAATCCGATCCCATATATAAAAACACACACACACACACACACACACACACACAACCTGGGTTTTATAATAAGTATAACCCGATATGAGTTGTCCCCCTTTCATTCTGGTGACAGAATCGTGTTTCATCGTGTTTTTAAATTGATTTCGTGCAAAAACCATTGTGTTTTTCCTATTTTGGCGCTGTCAGAACCACCACAAGGTAATTTTACGTAGTCCTGTGAAGTTTTGTTGAAATCGGTTGAAAAATGTAGGAAATCCAATTCAATATATAAACGTACAGACACGCACACACACACACACAATCTGCGTTTTATAATAAGTAAGATTATCAACAAAGGGTAACTAATGCGTTTAACGAATTAGCCAAAGGTTTAAAATATATTATAAAGCTTAAACAACAAGCGTGAACTAATTCATTAAAATAAATAAACAACTCTTCATAATATAGAAAAATGACCATTGGACAAGATGCGAGACCTCCATGCGTCAACGTAAAATGGCCAACGGTTTCTAATAATATATAAGGAATGAACAAACTCAAATAAGGGCAATTTGTGATTTGAACAGGTGGTCGGCTGTCAATAAGAGCGGATTGTTATTATCTTTTGTTCATATAGATACAATATAAAGAAAACAAATATTAATAAATCCTATTCACAATAGTTGAGGCCACGGGAGATCTCTTTCTTTCAATCTATCTATCTATCTATCTATCTATCTATCTATCTATCTATCTATCTATCTAACCAATTCTGTTCATATCTACGGGATAACAACTGAGACATTACTCTATTTATTGAACAATTTAATTCATGCCACATTGACTTATAAACTCCTACAACAAAAAATTCTCAAATTGCCATATTAATAAAAAAAAAACTCTCTTAAATTTTCAAAAAAAAAAAAAAAATTCAACCTTAGCATTGCCACTGCACGCTCCAAAAGTTTGTATCCGTCAACTATAACACATTTAAAAAAAAACACACACATATTTCGATTCGCATTTAATTTTTTCGCCTAGGATGCTACCTGAATTTTACCAAAAACAAAATAATTTCCATGCCTGAAGATGACTGAATGTACAGTTGAAAGTACTTGCGTATTAAAGAAAGACCATATATAGCTTATTAGTCAAAAAGAAAAAAAAGATCATAACATTCATCGAGGATTTGGAGGTTAATGCACCTTTAAAATTTTGCTAGCGAAGGGATTTCGCCATTTTATATCATTAACTTTACCAATCTATTTTTGTATGAATGATTCATTGTAATATATATATATATATATATATATATATATATATATATATATATATATATATATATATTTATGTTTACATTTTTTATGTTTAACGTTGTTATTTATAGATACAAGTATTTAAGAAAATGCTCTGTTTATGATAAACAGAATTTTTAAATAACATTTACCGGCCTGAATGTCAGGAATTTTTCATAGAAAATATTCGACATTTTGACCGGTAAATGTTTTTTAATACTGTTTATCATAAACATTTGCTTAAATACTGGTATCTATAAATTAACAACGTTAAATATAAAATGTCTTTAATAAATAAATTGTCGGACCTTGTCCATTTCTTAATATATATATATATATATATATATATATATATATATATATATATATATATATATATATCAGAAAGCGCTCGGATATACAGAACATAATTTCTATGTAATTTATGTGCAGAAAAGACTATCAATGGTTTGGATTTGGTTCCATAGCTATGTATGAAGCCAGTGCGGTAATAAACATGGCATCAATGGTTGCAGAGCTTCCTAAACCGGAATCTGTGTGCAGGGAGACGGGTTTTCCCGAGTTGATGGAACTAATGGCCATGTGTCCCTAAATAGAGCGAGCCTTCACGTTGGCGACACCGGTTTGCCGTGCCCAAGACGCGATGGATACGTGAATACCTCTCATGCTCTCAGCATCCAGATATGCCGAAGGAGCTGGTCAGGTGCTGGGCCATAGCTCGTCACGGCACCTACGATGAGGATGAGGATGAGGATGATGAAATAAAAATGGATACTTTCCATTTAAAAAAAAATTCAGTAATAAAGGCAGAAATTTTCTACTACATTCCCAGTTTTATTTTTATTTTGCCCTAGCACCTCTATAGAAATATTCTAACATATCGTCATGTTTACATCTTTTCATCCATACCTGTCTTTCAACCTTTCGCTCATTGTCTCTTGCTCTATAAAAAATGTAAATGAATCTCAAACTAAGCTAATATAAATAATAATAACATTGTAAAAATATTCAACAGCAACATTAACGACATTTACTCACTTTCTTTGATGACGTATTACATCACGAATCTTCCATAGTTTACCTTGACTTACAGTTAGCCTGTAGTATATTTATCGACGTTCTTAAATTCAATATTTTTTAAAATATTTGTTTCCGTTTATAAATAATTGTTATCTTTATGTCACACTCTCTCTCTCTTCTTCACTCTCCTTATCTATCTATCTATCTATCTCTTTCTCTCTCTCTCTCTCTCTATATATATATATATATATATATATATATATATATTTATCGCTCTCTAGCTACCTATCTCTTTAACTCTCGCTTTCACTCTCCCAGTCATACGAAACTATAGACAGATAAGGCAAAACTTGGATAGATAGATAGATAGATAGATAGATAGATAGATAGATAGATAAGAACAAATATATATAATGATGAAACTGAAGTTGACAGCGCAAGAGAAGTACATTTGTATTATGCGATATGCCTGACCAAACTTATATAGATAGATAGATAGATAGATAGATAGATAGATAAAGGAAAGACTGAGATAGATAGATAGATAGATAGATAGATAGATAGATAGATAGATAGAAGGAGAGTAAAGAAGAGAGAGAGAGAGTGTGACATAAAGATAACAATTATTTATAAACGGAAACAAAAATTTAAAAAAAATATTGAATTTAAGATAAAGGAAAGACTGAGAGAGATAGATAGATAGATAGATAGATAGATAAAGGAAAGACTGAGATAGATAGATAGATAGATAGATAGATAGATAGATAGATAGACTCTTAATACTCTTCTGTCGTTTCTCTGCCTTCACCTCTCGCTTTTATATTTATTTTCAATTTCATTAATTTTTTTGCGTAATCTTTCTTATATCCTCCCTAGCTTCCCACTTTAACCCCCTCTTACGCCCCTCTCCACCCCAACTTGTTTTCTTCCCCTAATTCTTTCCAGCTTAATATTATTTCTCGGCCAATAAACATATCTGATTCCAAGTGAGACGGGCTAAATATTGGACAGATACTACCCTCTGATCCGAGACAGAAAAGCGTAAGAGTTGGGCAACCAAACAAGCAGAATGATAGTATAGATCAGTAGGGGCGGGGATCGGACAGATACTACACACTGATCTTTAGTAAGACATCTTTTTGATTGATTGGTTCGTTTTTTACGGTCTATCAACACTTTGTGCATTTTATTTAAAGGCAGAAAATATTTTTAGATTATAAGAATTAAAAAATATAGATAATAATGGTTTAGTAATACAAATCTTACTAATTAACCCACAGCTGGGGGGAAAGGTGTAGATTGTTACCTTTCCCTGGGGTATTTGTGTTAAATGAATAGAACGAACCCAACCCGCATTAGAACTCGGCTCTCTGATTAACAATTCTGAGCCATTATCCATTACACTAGCCGCACATCCAAGCTTACAGCAACTCGTATTCCCAAGCGGTTACCCATCTAGGCACTGACCAGGCTCGACGTGCTTAACTTCGGGTGATCCGGCGTTTCAACGGGATGTGGTCGTAAGCCTATTAGGGAAGCGTAGTAGTCGTATATACAAAAAGCAGAATAATAGTATAGATTAGAAGGGCGGGAGATTGAACAGATACAACACTCTGATCCCAGGTAGAAAAACGTAACGGTCGTGCCTACAAACAAGTAGAATATAGATCAGAAGTACCAGGGATTGGACATATACTACACTCTGCTCTTTGGTATAAAATGGTAACCTTATAGACACACAAAAATGCAGAATTATCATATAGATCAAATGGAGCAGGGACCAAGCAGATACTACACTTTGATCCTGAATAAAAAAAAATAACAGTTTTACATACACCGAAACAGAATAATCGTAAATATATTCAAGTTATTAGTTTTTTGCATTCTTTTTTTTTCTTTTTCAGGTCTTGAGGACTTAAAAACAGCGAATGTAGCCGGCAGTCCATCCAGCGAAGGCAGCCTGGAGGCGAAGTGCGTCAGTTCCGTGGGGGATGTGAAGTCCCCGCTTTTAAGACAACATCCGCTTCATCATAGCAGCAACAGCAACAGCAGCCTCAACAGTAGCTGTTCAAACGACAGCGTCACAAGCAGCAATTTGGGTGACTGCAGAACCAACTTAGACGATGCCTCACCATCTCCGGACCCCGGGTCTGGAAGCAGAAATTTGAAAGCCTCACCTGGCAGCACCAACTCGATTCAAACAGCTACTGGCGTTGGAGGCACCGGTAGTAACGGCAGTGGAGCGTCAGAATCGCAGAAAAAGCGTAAACGCCGAGTGCTGTTCTCAAAGGCCCAGACTTATGAGTTGGAACGCCGGTTTCGACAACAGCGCTACCTATCGGCACCCGAGCGTGAGCATTTAGCTAGCATCATCCGCTTAACTCCGACTCAAGTGAAAATCTGGTTTCAAAATCACCGCTATAAACTTAAAAGGGCTCGCCAAGAGAAAGGTTTGGAAATGAATCCTCTGCCGTCTCCACGTCGGGTTGCTGTTCCTGTCTTGGTCCGGGACGGGAAACCGTGCCAGTCGACAGTTAATGGGTCGCTGGTAAAGACGCAAGACCATTTGTCGCTACAGCATAACTTAAGTAATTCAAACATGAATATGAATCTTAACAGCGGTCTCTCGGCTGCCGCGGCGGCTACCCACAATACACTGAACTCAATCCCGGGAATGAATAATATAGCCAATATGGCGTCTTCGCTGTCGTCATCATCTATGAATTTGAATATGAATTGTTCCTACAGTATGAATTCGGTAAACATGAATGTCGGCATGAGCGTCCTGCCTAGTTATTCCCACCCGCTTATGCAGCCCAGGTCTGGTTGGTGGTAAATAAATTAAAATCTTTACTCAAGAGAAAAGAAAGACAATTAAAGGAAGACACAAATATGGCGGAAAAAGAACGAATTTCAACGTGCACAATATACCTTTGTTTTAAACAGAGCTAAAATTTGGAGAAAACGGGCGATTAAAAATTACAAAACTCCGTCACCCCCAAGAAAAATTACGAATAGATAATAGGATTTGTTTATATTTCTGAGATCAGGTATTATGTACACTATTTACATTATTCGGATCATCCTCATCTTTGTCGCCATATTTATCACAACGTTTCGGCCTTTCAGTATCTGTCTATATTTCTGAGATGAGATATTATGTACATTATTTACATTATTCGGACTATTGTCCTCATCTTTGTCGCCATATTTATTACAACGTTTCAGCTGTTGTACGCTCCGGCCTTCTTCAGGTGGTTGGAATGTCGAACTGAACCCTTTCTTTCGCTCATTAATGTAGACTGTTCTAGTTCCACGTGCCATGTTTAATGGATGTCATCAGTTATCTCCTGTTAATTATCCTCTCCAAGTTCTCAAAGACACATGGTAGTGTGGATAAAGGCATCGGTTAGATTCAGTGACAGGACCCAGAGAGTGTGAGTTCAATACCTGGTTAAGGCAGTGGAGAACTTGGAGAGGGGAATTAACAGGAGATAACTGATAACTGACATCCATTAAACATGGCACGTGGAACTAGAACAGTCTACACCAGTGAGTGAAATAAAGGGTTCAGTTCGACATTCCAACCACCTGAAGAAAGCCGGAACGTACATCGGCCGAAACGTTGTAATAAATATGGCGACAAAGATGGTATTTATCAATCCACCCACTGGGATCGAATGTGGCACAAGGCCTTTATAATGTGGGTATCTCTGAGCCCGTAGGCCCAGCCAAAAATAAATAACAATCCAAACCCGCCGGGGCGGGCAAGTTCCGTCAACCTCCCTCAACGAAAATCTACCCTTCGGCGGAGCTTCGTCCGGGTTCCTCTCTGTAAGCAGAGAGTTCGACAGACACCCGACCCGGCAGCTCACAAAGCGCAGATACTACACTTTGATCCTAGCCACCGGCGACAATGGCGACAAAGATATGGCGACAAAGATGAGGACAATAGTCCGAATAATGTAAATAGTGTAGATAATAGGATTAAACGTAAAATTAAATAAAAACAAAAGTCAAAGGAAATGAAGGCTTTGAATTCTAAACTATGAAACAGTGATGTAAAGCTACTCCACTATCTTTCTTAATATTGCATGGCTGCATTCACTTTTTCACTATTGAAGGTACATAAGTAAGGCATGAATTCTTTTCTTGACCCCCTCCCATCATCATGGTAGACAGGACCCTGAAGGCTTGGCTGTCAATCAATCTAAAAGAAGACAAATTCTGAATTCCAAACCGTGAAGATGACAACGGGAAACCACACCACTATCTTTCTCAATAATACTTGGCATTCACAGATAATTAAGAAGAGGAATCTGTGGAGAGCCATGATCGTCTACGTCATAAAGGGATATGGCATTTAAAAAAATGTTAATAATAATCACAGACAGCTAAATTTATCAGCACGGCAAAGACTATTTCGGCAGACCGAGATCAAATTTCAACTGAATATACTTTTATTTACCACACACACACACACATACACATACGCATATATATATATATATATATATATATATATATATATGTCCAAGTATAGGATTGGTGTATACGGAATGAATTCCAATAACCAACAAATACTATTCTTAAAAGAGTGCTCAATACAATATGATAACATAAAAATGTTATAAAATCACTACAAAAATAGACATTATGTTTCAACACTTCTGGTATCTTCTCAAGTGATGATGTTGAATGTCAACTTTCGTCAGGTTGCCTGACGATTGCGTCTAGCATGAAACAGCCTACCACCTCTGAGTGCTGACTTCAATGCTCACTTTTATATTTACATACGCTCTATCTGTGATACTGAGCACTTTATTCCATAAATATAGCACACCTTAAAACTATACTTCTTCATATATAATAATAATAATAATAATAATAATAATAATGGACTTTCTCCCGTCGGTTTCGATCTGCCAGCTTATTGATTCAGTTATGAAAGTTTGTGCGATAATCTTAAGTGGCATTTAAGACCCACTAGTGATTTACAAAGGAGGCCACATATGGAGCAGGTGTGAGAATTTTGAGATGGGATCACTGTTAGATTGGCTGACCTTTTAGATCTTGATCTCGCTTCTTGAAGATGATTCAGACAAGCAGATTGAAAATTGCTGAGACCACTAAAACACGTTGATCTCCATTCTACCCGCTCCAAAGCTAAGCGCCCAAGGGTGTTATGTGGTATATTAACTGCTGATATATATATATATATATATATATATATATATATATATATATATATATATATATATATATAGAGAGAGAGAGAGATAGATAGATAGACATTCATATATATATATATATATATATATATATAGATAGATAGATATTCATGTATTCTGATATATATATATATATATATATATATATATATATATATATATATATATATAGATAGATAGATAGATAGATAGATAGATATTCATGTATTTACTAACGCCTGTTGAGATGTGTTGAAACACGACTGCAATTGTGTAGCGTTTTTCGACATGTTTTTGATGTAATATCCTAAAATAAAGTGTATATATATATATATATATATATATATATATATATTCGAAAATTTCCATCTTGGCATATGTCGATCATTGATCCCAGTTAAGTTAGGGATACTTTTCTACTTTTGGGGTCTGTAGTGACTGTATCGAGGAAATTAGAGAGAAGATGGGCGCTGCCATGTCTTCTTCATAAAATTCTATATGCCTTTAGGTCTTAAACGACGATGACTCTATAGTTGTCTTTTTTTTTTTAATTATCTATGAATTGCCACGACCTCTTGGCAAAGACACTTTTCCTGTTGTCTTCCCAACGATTTGGAATTCAGATTTCTTCCTTCTCTTAGACTGGTTACCGCCCAAGAATAGAGAATCCTATCTACTCTGCTATTTAACCCATAGATGATTACTGGGGTAGGGAGTGGAGGAAGACGGATTCGTGCCTTTCTCAAATGCATTACGGCGAAAGGAAATGCAATCGACGATCCCGGGACTTTGAACTGCAGCGGCGATTCCACATTCTGCGCTAGTATTTGTTTCACCACCCGCGCATTCACGCCAATTAACTACCCTTTATTCTCTGTGATGCTATGAACTGCAGAGTTTAGATAACTCTCCTTATTTGAAAGATAAAGAAGAGCGCATTCAGGTTAGAATTCCAGCTACTTGCAATATGCAGCCTGTTTCATCTTACTCAGACAAGCAGCACTGCGTAAATCTCAGTAAATTCTTTTGTCAGTGATGTGAAAAAGAGCTGAGTCAGACCAGGGATTTATTTTCTCTGAGTCTGGAACTATTTAACAAAGCAGTACTAGTCCGGGGAAATTTAGAGAGACAGTCCTTATCCTCTGCGATTCAACGAAGGCCACCGTCATACTTAGCGTTTTGTTACAGAATGCGGAGGCTGGGCCAGGATAGCTAAAAACTTGTCGGAAGATCCCGTGGACGTGGAATTCTGATAGGGATGGATTGCTTACAGTAGTCCGGAGAAATTTAGAGAGGCAGTCGATCCTGTCACTTATTCTCTGTGATGTTACGACGGCCAGCGGAGTACATAGCGTTTTGTTACAGAATTATTTAACACAGCAGTACCAGTCCGGGGAAATTTAGTGAGGCAGTCACTATTCTCTGTGATTCCACGTAGGCCAGCGTCATACCTTGCGTTTTGTTACAGAATCCAGAGGCTAGTCCAGGATAGCTAACTACTGGGCAGAAGGCCCCGTGGAATTCTGATAGGGATGGACTGCCTTTGTCTAAGTTTTTGGATATAAGACCAAAAATCGCAGAGAACAGAGTCGCAAGAATTTTTCAAGAGTCAACACGCCTCACGTATTCAGATTCTTCAGTGAGGCTAGTCCGCACGTGTCGAAAAGCTAAGCCAAGAATTAGGTGTACGTTCCCCTAACCATCTTATTCCCGCTATCGATTTGAATCGATGCTGCAACGTCTGTCCTCTCACATAACAATGCGAATAGGAAAAAGAAATCGTCCTTTGCTGATACAGCCTATTATCCGACGATGGGGTCTGGAGCTAGTGGCGACACCAGACTGAACAGTTTGTGCTACCCGGGGCGGTCGTATAATTTGTTGCCATTCTAAATACCATTATGGACAATATCTATGAAATATAAAGAGAGATTTCAATAAACGGCCATTTTGTTTTGATTGCTAACGATTAAATCAAAACAATGATAGCAACAAACGCAACAATAAAATAAGAAAAAAATTTTAAAATAATTTAAAAAAAAAAGTTATTTTTATTTTATTTTTTTTTTCAATGGCGTGAGAAAAAAAATCAATCAACCCAATCCTACCCCCGAAAAAAACAAATAAACAAAAAAAACAAAAAACAAATACAAATGCAAAAATTTGAATTGAATCTTTTATGATAATAATAACTTCTAAAACACGTGTTGGTTTGTTGAAATTCGCTTCAAGAGAAAAAAAACACACTTTAAAGTTGAAAGACTCACGTTGACATGCTCTCTCTGATGTTGTCCATTGTACAAGTTAGTCGACAGTCAACGGTAGTTGCAAAGAGTGAGGAACACCTGCCGCTGCA